CTTTCACGAATTCGAAGTGCTCTAACTTATGTGCGTACTCGTGCACGCGAGGAGCATTGGGGCTTGTTATGGTCACAAAACTCTCTTGGGTGTGGATTGATGGACCCTGAATCTGAGGGGCAACTTGAAATTAGGGCACGCAGGCGTGCATGGAGTGCAGGCATCAAAGTCACTGCGGCTTCTGCGCCAACCTTATTTTCGGTCGCTGTCCAGGGTTCTAGCCCGGGTACGAGGGTATGGGATGGTTCGGTCCCATCTGCTGTGCATATCCCTTATCGACCTCCTGGACTCATACCACCTGTGCCAAAGGTGAATGGACCGATTGTTCCGACTGGCCTTGCGTTGGGCAGACCTGTCAGGCGGTCGCCATTAGCCATGTATGTGTGGAGCGCAGATGATGTGGCTAAGAAAGACACGGGTCGTCACAGCAAATACGGAGATATTGACCTGAAACGTGGCGGACAAACAGCGGCTCTGAGGCGCCCCCTGCGTGTTTCATTCCTCGAAAGTCCCACCAAGTTGCTTCCTGTTCGTGAGGAAGGCGACGACGAGGAAGGAAGAACCTCCAAGATCGACTTCCCGCAAAGCCCTACGTCGCCGACTTCAACGACTTTACCTGAAGGCGTCACTCCGGACGAGAGATATGGTATCAGCCAGGGTGATGTCAGTGCAACTGATGATCCATTCTTTTGTTCTCCCTTTCATGCGCGTGCGCGGACTACGAGCATGTATCCTTGCTCTCAATCCTCGCAGGAACTCCCTATGTTTAGGCCAAGGACGCCTCCCCCATCGTATCAGGCTGCCATTGGTGAAGATAACACCGATGATGACGATAACGACGATGAGTCCGACAATGGAACACTCGATACCTGTGCACTTTTATTCCAACCTCTTTCAACGCTGTGCTTGACATCGCCCACAAAAACTATACCTACACGGCCTCCGCTAGTAACAGCTCCGCCATTTACTCCTCGAGTTCGTGCTGTGTCCTTACCCACGTGCCCACGTCGCCCACGTAGTCCATCTCTCTCTTCGAGGTCAACCGATGAAGATTATCAGGATCTGTCGCAGGCTTACGTTGCGCCACCACCAACCACCCCCATTACCACAACACCAACCATTGCAGTGACTGAGTCTTACCTCACTTATGCGCACCTTCATGCCCCAGTGCCCATCAGTGGGAAAGCTAGCGTGACAAAAGGCATGTGTGAGAAGGGAAAGGGAATAGCAAGCCAGGAGATGGTCTTTGAGCGGAACGGGGAGGAATATACTCTGGGTCTGGAAGTGGCATTGGGTAGGGCAGAGGAGGGACGCTCAGTCTGGTGAAAACAGAAATGCAGTTCAATAGAACCAAACTTGGGAACCGACTACTAACTGCTCTAATCCTTATTCGTGTCTATCATGCTTTCTTTCGCACCAGCTTTCGCGTTTTCGCCCCTATGTAAGTGCATGCTATCTTCTGGTGTACCCGCGAGCTCATCTGTTTCTTTGCAGTGGATCTTAATTGACACATCTCCGGCTTCCGCCTAATAGTCAGCATTATAATAATGCTTTTACCTAGACCATCAGATATATTGATCGAATCTACTGGTCATGTGTCACGTAGTCCCAGCAGGCCTGGAACTTTCATTGCTCAATGGATCTGCGCACACGGTCATATAATTCATTCATTTCGAGCTTGACGTGTTGCACCCGCCTTCCTTAGTCAATGTGCACGTGGCATGTACGTTTCTGCTAAGCAACAGTCGCGTTTACCAAACGCCGCTTCCTACAAGCAGACAATGACAAAGGTGGGTTGCCACCGTCCAGACGTAAAGGAAGTTGAATTCAAGCATGGAAGCGAACCGATTTGGCACGGATCACAACCTTGATGTTGAACTAGAGTTGTGATAGAGTTGCCGTGAGTGCTCGGTAGCATTGGACGCAATTAATTCTTCAGTTTGCCGTTGATCGGTGTCCCACCCCACCTCACCCCAACCCCAAGCCAAATCAATCAACTATGTAAGTATGTACGGAATCATGATCTATACACTCAAATTAGAAATGAATCCCCGTTACATAATGAGGTTGCAGGTACGGGCGGAGAACGTTGTGTTGCTCGATATGAATTTGTCTCACTGGGATAAAATTACACTGCGGTGGGAATCGGTGATTAAATATGTTATTCCCCTCACCCCATCTTCGAGGAACGCCGCAGGAGAGCCGTTGAGGCGTACTACCACCCGAACACCCTATTTTTGAAGATCATCAGATGATAATGCACCGAGATTAAGCGAACGCTTACTCCTCGTGCATCTCAATCCCACCGACGGCCCAGCGTCTCCCACCATCTACTTGAGAAATCACGTGCGCGACATCATCACCCATACCCGTTGGGCCGCACACGCCAACCACGACACCTGTGATGTCCAAGCTGGCCTTGACATTGGAACCGTAAGATACCGCACGCGACATCACTGCGTCAAGGACTTTGGCGATCTTTGGACGTCCTGCGGTGAGTGTAAGCCCTGGTGGGAGGAAATCCTTCCCCGCGGGTTTCTCGGATGTGCGTGTGTAGTGAACAGATATTTTGAGTGGTGTGTAGACGCTTTGTTGGATCAGCGCCGTTAGTTGAGGGACAAGTGGAGTGAGGGAGGCTAATGGGTATGAGGAACATTCAGTCAATACGGTAACAATACGGACCAGAATCTTGAACACTCCAAATGACTTCTATGATTTTTACTCGACTGGCACCTTCCGAATCTCTCTAGCAGCAGAGGTTGAGACAGGAAGTTGAAAATGCTTAATTTGACTTACTTGTAGGATGTCCTGCACAGCTGAGAGAGCAAAGGTAATCCCGCTTCCGCCAACAACGAATATCGCGGCAGAGTAGCTCGCAAATACGCAATGACCTGGTCCACCTACACGACAATAAACAACCATTAAAAAATGCCTGTTGCCACTTACCGTATGGTCCTTCAATCATAATTTGCACCGTCCTCCCATATGCGCCTTCATCTGATCCGTACCCCGCAGCTTTTGCCATATCGTACAATCTCCCCGTCCACCCACCAGTCTTCTTACACAATAACACCATGCCTTCAGGCGTCTTCGCAGCGGTAGCAATGGTAAATGGGTGACTCTCTGCCCAACCGAACCATCCCATGGCGGAGGAAAGCACGCGGAGGCGTACGTGTTGTCCTGCCCTCCAGCCAGCATTGAGCTGGGGAACCTCGATACGTGTGAGCATGAGATCTGGAATGGGACGTATGCGCGCGTTGAACACGCGTGTTTTCATAAATCGGATGAGGTAGTCGAGGCTGATGATACCGGCGGCTGCAATGACGTATGGCCAGACGCCAGGTTGATGAGCATGAAGCTGGATATGCATTGTTAGAAGTTGGCAATGGCATGGACACAATTTGGGCTCACAGCTGGGAGAAAGAGGACGAATAATACGACATGCGAGCAGTAGAAGAAATTGTATGCCCGTCGTCTGAAGAATGGGATCGAAAATAAGTATATAAGATCTACAGTGACGAGCGCAACAAAGGCCCATATGTGTGGTGACAGACGAATGTTTTTAGAAAATGTATGATCGATCGTCCATTGATAAACTAGAATAAGGACGACCACCGGACATCAGCGCTGAGCAATTACGCCCTTCTGAAACTCACTGTAACCAATCGAATGCACGTTGGATGCGATCACGAGGAGCGTCCCCGCAAACCTATGAATGTAGTTGAGCTGTGGAGAGTCCGTAAGAGTTAACCCGAGAGATTACAATCACTGACCTTCTCATACCCGAGACCAAGAAATATACCCAATATATTATTTTTTGTCGCCAACAAATATACAACAGGAACCTGGGACATCGCTACGAATCCAGTACGCAACGGATCGGCAAATGGGTTTGACTTTAGGAATCCAGCATAGACCAGAGCCGCAGAATAGATCACCAGGATCAGTGCCTGACCAAGAGAGAAGCCAGCGTCCAGTCTGTACCTCAGGATATTAGCGAAAGTTGGGACCCGCGAGGACCATGCGCAAACATGGGGTGGAAGTGACCAGCCTTCTTTCTTTGCCGCTGGGTGTCGAATGAGATGTGCTTCGGAATGCAAGGTGTGTGATTCCTCCGACGTAAGGTTGTCAGCTGTGGAGGGGCCGGCTGCAGGAGATTGTACGGAGCGCATAGGGGGCCTTGGCGCTCGACGCTCGAGCGGGATGGAACGGAGGATATGTCCTTGGCGCCATTCTGCGGCGCGGGAGAAGCGTGCAACAGCACGAGGGAGCGCGAACAGGGCAAACACACCGGCAAGTGCGAGAAGGAAGACATCGATGTGGAATACAAATTGGAAGGCGTTCACGGCAGGAGAGGTACTTGATACTGATTGTGTTGTGGCTTCCATGTTTGGAATGGTTCAACCTGTTGGATCGGTTGGAAAGTGAGGGTAGGAAAATGAAGGTATTTGAATATGTACGGGACCACGCCGCGTCGTTGGATAGTGTGAATAAGAATCTTGGATGATGAGAGGATGTTGAAAGCGACTCGCATATAGAGGTGTTCAAGTCTATATGGAACATATGCCGATGGATAAGCATGCTACCTGCGCCGGTAAAGCATGGAAGCGATGATCGATATGGAAAATTCATGAAACGTGTTTGCATCATGTCAATCAGTCCGAGTCACAGTGAGGGAGTGTTAATGCCATTAGTAGGCATACAGTGCGGTTGTGCTGCGGCGGAAATGAACACCTGGCCTATGAATATTGTCAACCGAAGTTAACCTGCCGAGGAGATGAGTTCGACGTGCTGCATGCACTTTGTTACTCTCACTGTACATGTCCATTTCGTCCTGAAAAGGTTCGTGTGAAGTCTTGTGGATCATGTCGGGTCTTGTATCGAAGCTAGCCTGGGATATAGGTCATAGCAATATTTGGAGACGGTGAACTTCAGGTAGTGCCTGATATTACGGCTTACCTTGTACATATTGGACTCCGACTAGCTGGCTCGCTGGTTACCCTCATGTTCCAAAACTCATGACTCTTTCAAAATATCCGTGAAGCAATCAACTAAAGCCATCGCTGCGAACTCAGACATGTGTAAGCTTCATCAACTGCGGACGAGGGATTATGCTGCCCGCTGGCAGCAGTGGTGGCCGACGATATGCTCACAAGCCATTAGGGAGTCGTAAATCACAGAGCTTTGTCATGCGTGCCTCTCGTCTATAAAATTTCCCGCCAACTGACCCAACCGCACGAATAGAGTCAGTGCCAATCTGGCGTTGAATCAATATCGGTGTTCCGCCGTGCTCAAACACATCTGCTTATCCAATACATTGACACTACATTTCGTGGTGTCTATTGTCCAAAAGTAAATGGCTGCTTGTCAGATAGTAATAGCGAGCGAGCTGCTTGTCTCATCGAATCTACTTTCTCTCACCGTGAGCCTGACCAGTCACCTGTTGATGTATTCTAATATCGACTGTTAATGTAGGACACGTCTACCATAGTCAAGTCACAATGTACTTACTCCACTAGGGGAGAGAGTTCAATGCCAAGGCAGAGGCGCACGTTGTTCTCTCTCCCACCAACACCTTCCGGACCTGAGCATGGCATAGACCTGAATCTGGAATTGAGCTCTCACCTTATCTCTACTTTCTCTCATTCTATATAACGTTGATTATCCAATTGTTAGTGTGCCTTACATTCACTATGGGCGAGCTAGAAAGTCCATCCTCCAGTGAGGGAGAGGTCATCACCAAGGAAGAGGCATGCAACGTTACCGTATCCGACCAACGCCTTCTGGACTTGGGGTATAGACCTGAATTCCGCCGCGAGATGTCTCTCTTCGGAGTGCTTGGGATATCATTCTGTTCCATCGGCATTTTAAACGGAATGAGCAGCGCTCTTCAGACGGGGTTGTTCTCTGGAGGTCCGCTGGGTCTGTTTTGGGGATGGAATGTGATTTTGACACTTAATCTCCATGAATATGACAATAACTCTTGTTCCATCCAGATTTGCAGTTTTTTCATGCTTCTGATCGCGTTCAGCTTTGCAGAGATTTGCAGCGCATAGTAAGCAATTCACGTCCTGTCAGAGCCTATGTCTTAGGTTGTTGCATAGCCCAACAATGGGAGGACTCTACTTTTGGGTTTGCAAGATGAAACCAGACGTGCCCATCCTTGGCTGTAAGTCTTAATGCCCATCCTCCGAATAGTGTCTGAATGAACTATTAGTCTTTACTGGCTGGCTTTATTCTATGGCGATGGTATTCACTGGTGTTTCCGCTAATTTAAGGTGAGTTGTCTGCATTATTCAATCAGAACCTACGATTTGTCATCTAGTGCCGCTCTCTACCTTTCGTCCATGGCAGAGGTTGGGCGAGGAAGAAGTCTAACGAGACTAGAAATCGCTGCGATCGCATGGGCTGTAAACATATTCTCTGGCATAATCAATACTATTGGAACGAAGGCCATAGGACACATGAGCACATTATTTGTTTGGTGGACGCTCGGGGGCACAGTTTGTTTAGTCACCACACTGCTTGTGAAAGCACCCATGATGGTAAGGTTCTGTCACAGCGCAAGGCACGCGGAATCTGATTATGTCTGACAGAACTCTGCTGACTTCGTGTTTACTAATGTTCAAAAGTAAGCTTTGCTCATTTTATGAATGAAAGAGGCATTGACTGGTCGACTAGCTTCACCGGCTGGCAATCCCAAGGCTTTGTCGTGCTTCTTGGGTTTCTTCAGGTGAGGTCGGCTCTACATATGTTGTACTGTATGACTCACGGCGTGACATTTCTCTAGGCTGTGTACACGCTCGAGGGGTGCGAGACAGCAGCTCAAGTAGCGGAAGAAGCTGTACGGGCGGAGATCCTGGCTCCGCTCGCTGTAGTAGGCAGCATCGCAGGTTCTTGGCTGATCGGCCTCGCGTACTTGCTTGCACTTCTTTTCGCAGTTCAGGATATCTCTTCCGTTCAGGCCACCACATTTGCCATCCCGATTGCTCAACTCTACTATGATGCAGTCGGACCCCGATTGTCACAAATGTGCCTGGTTGTGATAATGGTTTCTCAAGTGATGGCTGCAATCACAACGTTTACTGCAAGCTCGAGACTGTTCTATGCGCTCGCAAGAGATAATGCATTTCCATTGAAAAAACAATTCATGACCTTGAACCGATTCCAAGCACCATATTGGGGTGTCTGGAGTAGCGTCTTGATAGGATGCATCATATCATGCGCTTACATCGGGTCCGCGATTGCAGTCAGTCGACCCAACTCCTTACTGTGTTTCTTTGCTCTGATAGTATTCGCGCTTTCACAGTTCAACGCCATCTTATCCTCAGCAGCCATAGCGGTGATGTTGAGCTACATGCAACCCATCATTATTCGCGTGTTCTGGCCTGACTCGTTCGTCATTGACAATGATGCATTTGAGCCACACTTGACTTATTTTCTTGAATTTAGCATCGAAGACTTTGGACCTTTCCGCCTCGGAAAATGGTCGTGGCCAGTGAACTTGGCCAGTCTTCTGGTACGCAACTTCCTCATCTGTCATACATTCACATTCCCATTCATTATCCGTACAGTTCACCATTTTCGTCTGTGTTTTATTCATCCTGCCCACGGCATACCCAGTGAACGTCCTCAACATGAACTACGCAATTGTTGCTGTGGGTGGTCTTCTGGTCGTGATCACGATCAACTGGTTTTGGTGGGGAAGGCATAGCTTTAAAGGCCTTGTTAAAACGGCCATGCCTCGACACTGACATGAGAGTCAAAGGCCAAACAGATAAGAAGGCAAATACTTGGCCTCTGTTTCACATCAAATGTACTGGCTAGTTGTGCAATTACTATAAATTCTAGATGTTTAACCAATCACATTGCAAGAAAAATTATGTTCATCGTAGTACGTGCAAGAGAAACATGCGACAGAATGACGAGGGCTTATAACCGATTGCATCCTGTTGTTTGGGCTCGAAGAATGAGCTATTCTCGATGATGGTGCTATAGGGAGGGGTGATGATGTGGGGAACAGAGTGTCTTCCCGGGGCACCTCAGGCGGCCTCTGCATCTATGGAGGAGCGTCGCGAGTGTCTCATGAGATACGCCCAGCCTGGTGAAGAGATTATTTGTCTCACTCGCAGCCACGAGAATCAAATGGTGCCATGGCGGGGCCCATATGTCATGGAAGACCGTTAACAGCTCGAGCTTTGAGGAGTATGCCAAGAGCAGCTCCCCCACATGGTCACGTCCGAAGAAGGCACCAAGTGGTACCTGCAAATGAAGCCAGTGATATAGCCTGAGATATCATGAGAGGCCTCGGATACGATATGTGCAGTCTGGCTTCCCATCTAGAGGACGTCCTACACATCCACCAGCTTCACTACATTTAGGATGTCCCAGCCTAGAAATTACTGCGGAAACGAGTAATGTCCCTAGTCTATTCCGGTGTAACAAGTCGATGTGGTACAGCTTTGGAAAGATCCTGGGAAGGCAACAAATTTAAACAAGCTATAATATTTGTCTTATGTCACGTCCAATTCAATAGTCCGACGCATTGCATGGTGTTGCAGACTACAAATTAGCAACTGACTATATACTATTCTTGCAGATCACCATGGATGACTACAAGGCCTCGAAGGAGGCTTTTGTCTCTGGAATGACTGGCTCGACAGTATTTCATGTAAATATGATAAGCGGCGTTGCATTGGTGTGTATCCCTACGTGTCTTCCCACTTCACCAAGCTGACCATGTTCAGTCCTCGATCGCCCTTCATTCAGCACTGCGTTCGCGTGTTCAAGCATTTGGGTCCGCATATTTCTTGGCAGAGTTTGTAATACTTGTCATGCCTCTGCTATTGTCTATGACTTTATTCGCGGAAGCTCCTGGCGCACTGTCTCTCCTACTGTTCGTACCGATGCTTGTTTTGCTCCTTCTCCCCCCTCTTGAAAGAGGCACGCCTTTACCGGCTGAAAGTCGGGACGAATCAACTTCGCCAAATGGAAGAAGTCGAACAGAGACTCCACCGACGCACTCATCTCAATCCCTCAGACCCTTGCCTGCTCTGACTACCTACCGTGCTCATATGATGTTAATGACAATTCTGTGTATACTCGCTGTTGATTTTCCAGTGTTCCCCCGTATCCTAGCAAAGTGTGAGACATATGGTGTTTCTTTGGTGCGTCTAGAACATATCATGTTCTTCAACTTTCACACAATTTGATTCATAGATGGACATCGGCGTTGGCTCGTTTGTATTCTCTCAAGGGGTGGTGTCTGCAATTCCAATCATCAAAGACATATCCTACCTCCAGGCTCCGATCCTTCCTAAACTGAAGACTGTCTCCCGTAAGATGATACCCATCATTGTGTTAGGCATTGTTCGCGTTGTGCTCGTGAAAGGCACTGAATATCCTGTAGGGTCTTGCATATGTTTCATGTTTCACCCATCGCTTAACAGCTACAACTAGGAACATGTAACAGAGTACGGCGTACATTGGAATTTCTTCCTCACGCTTGCGCTTTTGCCTATCATCGAGGTCTTGTTGCATCCTATCATCTTGCGTATCCCCGTCGCCCTGCTGGGTCTTTGGATTGGAGTTTGTAAGTGATAGTCCGGTCGTCATAAGAAACTTAATCAGATGCCTGTTTAATAGTGCATCAATTCGCATTGTCATCTGGAGGAATGAAGGACTTTCTGCTCAACGCTTCACGGAGCAACGTTATTTTTGCGAACAAAGAGGGCTTGATCTCCTTGCTGGGTATAACTCGTTACTCTTCTAGGATGTGCGTCTTCTAATTCCTCTCCACCAGGTTATGTTTCGATCCATATACTCGGCTTGTCCTTAGGAACTGTCATACTTCCGCCCTCCCCTTCGTTTTTCCGGAAGCAGCAGCACCAATTACTCGACGGGCCATCCTCTCACCGACCTAGCAAACTTGATCCTTCAGCACCCAGACAGAATGCAAAGATTGTCATTGAGCTGTTTTCGTATTCAGTCGTTTGGTGGATGCTTCTGGCTTTCGTGAGGCTTGGATTAGAAGTTTCTAGAAGAATGGTTCGTCCTGTTTGTTTTGCTTCGAGTATGTGGAACCTCATGTGCTGAGATGATTCCTAGGCAAATATCTCATATATTCTCTGGGTTGCAGCTTACAACACCTCTTTCATCCTTGGCTACATTTTACTCGACATGGTGTTCTTTCCCACCAGAACGTTAAAGATACGAGATCCAACTGATCCTTCAGGCAAACGGCTTCTCATCGAGGAAAAGGGGCCAAAAAGCAGCGCGCCCGCGCTGTTAGAGGCTATTAACAAGAATGCATTCATCTTGTTCTTGCTGGTTCGTCTTGTCAATATCACTTGCATTTGGCGTTCTGACATCTATACTCAGTCAAATGTGGCCACCGGTTTGATCAATCTCAATATCCAGACTATGTTCGTGGGTGACATGAAGGCAATGTGTGTATTGTGTGCATACTCTATGGGTATGTGCGGTTTTGCATGGCTTTGTAGGAGGAAACGGTTATGGAAGATGTAAGGCCATTTCAAAATATATTAAATAACATATCTTCCCGAACCGCTCTTACAGTTGAACCTCTACCAGTTGATGCTATCGCGAGACGTTTGTTTGGATTTTGCTGCTTGTTTCAGTCTTCGGTCCATTGCGTCTCAAGCTGAAAGCTTACTGTGGTCGGTTGGTGTGCGATCAAGGTACAGTGGTATGTGAGTGTGTTTCTGGTAAGGTAGACCTTGGTAAACGTCACGTGCTATGCGTGACAAAAGCAATGAATGTATATAGGATGTTCGTAGCGACAAGATATAGAAAAACAGAAACGGAAGAGTTGTAGTGTGTGTACTTCTCGACGAGTTGTCCGTTTCAGAATTATCATTTGTGCAAAATTGAAGGAGGAGATGGCAACACAAGCAAAATGTGACTTGCTGTGACTTCACTTGGAATCACTGCATTTGGCACCGGGAATGTATACCTTGCATCTTGCTTGTGTCGCCATCTCCTCCTTCAATTTTGCACAAATGATAATTCTGAAACGGACAACTCGTCGAGAAGTACATACACTACAACTCTTTTGTTTCTGTTTTTTTATATCTTGTCGCTACGAACATCCTATATACATTCATTGCTTTTGTCACGCATAGCACGTGACGTTTACCGAAACTGCGCAAGGTCTACCTTAGTATGGATTCTATCACGCGACATATGCATGCACCAAGTTGTCTCCGTGTGCATAAAACGGTTTACTACATAATTAGATATGTAGACTTCGAAGTTTGACTCTGCTTGATGAAAGGTCTCAAGAGGAACGTTCGCCCACTGCTCAAATATACCAAGGACGTTGGAAGGATCACACCTGACGAACTGCAAAACAACAAACCAACCAAGCAGACTGCTATGGTGGCAAGACATGGCTCTATCTATGGACTACGTGTCTAACACTCTCACTGAAGCCCCTGTTGCCAAACCTTCGTACTACAAAGTCTAACTAGATTCACGACGTGTACTTCCAAATTCACTCTTTAGACAGAGTGAAGTTGCTCCTTACGAATAATCTGCGAGAAGATCTCCAAAGATGCTTTGGGCTGGAAGGCAGGCTAACAATGACATAACAGGCATCAGTAGATATCATCATCCTCAGGAGAGTCAACTGACCACTTCATGTCCCGCTTTATACACCAGTCTAAACGTAAAATGATGAGGCATGTCTCTCGTGGACAAGTTGAAATGAAAAAAAGACTCACGCAAATGAGAAGTTATCGACGTTCTGCACGGCCGCAACAGTCGTGCCGTCGATCGTCATATTGGTTAATGGGGTATCATGGAGCGTCTTATTACCATACCAATCCATTGCTAGAATTGTCGCTTGGCTCTATTATCCAGAATGATTCAGCGACATTGGCAGCAGAATACGTGACAACCTACCCCAAGCCAGTTGCAACTAGAACCAATGAGAAGCGTCAGAATTATATGAAAGGTCATTACAACACGAAAACGGACTTCAAATCAGCATCCCCAGCCTGTTTTTCCCTGGTAAATTAGCAGACAACGAAGCAGTGACTAGGCACGCACCCAAATCAAAATCTTCATCTTAGAGTCGGCCAGAGCAGATAGCTGGGGTAGCCATGTTCTAGCTTCCTGTAACATGAAGCTAGATTTAGCACTCGATGAAACAAGTCAAACAAAAACATACGTCGCCTGTCTTGATAAATTTATGATAGGGTTTGGTGGGGCATTCGTCGTATGGAACCTCAGCACCGATCTTCGCCATGACATCCTTTTTGTTCAAATAATCCACATAGTATTCAGGGGGGAATGGAGCAGATGAATTTTGACGGATATCATATGGGTCATAATCGTCTACAGCAAGCCAGTAGACATTTTCGATCTAAAAGGATTCGGTGACGTCCATCCATATAGTATGGATGTTACTCACGCAGTATTTATCGGCGTGCCGGCAAATTTTGTTTGATTCAGCGGAATTTCCAGCAGCGTAGCAGGCCTTCTCTTGCGCCACGCAACCATCAGGACCGTAGAGGCCATTCGAAATGTTCTTGAGCACGTCATCTGGCCGGAGCTGTCCATAGCCAGGGGCATTGGTCGTATAGTTTAGGTATGAGACGTAATGAATGAGCGGATCAAACCAGCCGCTGCAAAAGCTCATTTAACGAGGTATTAGTAAATGAAGAAAGCAACTTGCTTGTTAATCATCAGGGCGCTGACAGAAATCGGAACACCGTGAATCTTCCCGCTAGCGATTAAGGCGTTTTGCTGTTCGAAGTAGGTCACAAAGCCGGGTACGTAGTGACCACCATAACTCTCTGAGGCAAAGATAAACCTGAGCCCGGCATAAGTAATCGTCCGTGATAGCTGAGTTAAGTGACTGACTCTCGACTGGCATATTTCGAAAACAGCTTGTTTTCAAACAAAACCTGGAATGCAGTCCATACAAAGGGCGCAGCGCTTTGCGTGCTGTTTGCCTCATCATCACCGTGAGAAAACCCTGTTTCAATTGGTTGATCAATGTAGATCACTGGGTGAGGAAGTCAGCTTTGGCCAACGAAATCAGAGGGCTACGTGCTACATACTGTTGCTGACATTATTCCAGCTGTAGGAACCCATGTTGGATTAGCATATAAAAATGGCCATAATCATGACATACCTGTAGGGGTTCAGAGTTGTGGAATTAGCGTCAGCATTCACAAAGCATGGCCCGTTTTCTGTAGAAAATTAGGAGCAAATTAAAAGGCAATTGAACCAATTAACCTTGGAACAATCCGATCATAGAAGAGCATCCAGGGCCGCCATTTAACCTATGAAAGCAATTCAGAGGTGCGACTCAATTCAGATACTTAGGTGACCCAGCTTCCTGGCAACCCACCATAGAGTGAATGGAGCTGTTTCCGGTGTGTTTCTAGACTCGAAGAACCAGAACCACTGTGTCTTGAGTCAGTTTACATCTAGAGCATAGGGAACAGAGATATACCATGGACATGTTTGTTCCAATGTCAATGTAACCAGAAATTTGGGCAACATTTGGAGTTGTTTCACATATTCCTGAGTTCGTGACATAACGAATGCCAGTTGCATTGTGAGCGTCGGATTGAATCCTGACGTGCTCTACTTTCGGAGAATCAAGATTGTCCTCGACAACCGTGACAGAGACGGCGTGAGTTATGGATATGCTAGCTGCTAGTAATAGCGTAACGCCAGCTCGAACGAGTGTTCTCAGAAACATGCTAGTAGTGCACACAGGTAGGGAGATCTGATGGAGTCTTCACTGCCCATTAAGGTACTTATAGAGGACCAGACACCCTGGCTAGGAATTAGTATCAAGCGATCGGAGGCAAGTGCCCACATGATAGCGGCGATAAAAACGAGATATGGCAACGTCGTACGTTAGCCTCGCTTCAGCAGTTTCAGACTGCTTGGTTCAACCACAGCTGGCAAAACCCACTGGTGCGCTAGAAAATGAGGACACGCACACGATCTTAGCAGCCGCTACATTGTGTGCTCGGGTAGAGTCAGTTCTGCCGGTTGTAACCGGCAGAACCGGCAAAAACTCTATCATAGGGCTTTATTATGTAAACTATACAGTTCGTTCCTATCCAACCAAAATTGAAAGGATTTCCCTCCGGCACTTCAACTTCGTATATGTTCCGAACTTCTTCAGTCCTTTTCGACTCTTTGGGAGCTACAATTTTTAGTGGCAATGTCGTCGGGCGAGATACTCTCTGGACTTGCAAGAATGTCGCATCTACATCACGATTCACGAGGCTCGCTCGGGAGCAGAGGTGCCCACGAGAAGGATGTTTCAAGATCTTGTGCGATCTCGACAGCAATATCAACCTCCTCACGGGTGTGCGTGTGAGCATGTCGACTGCGGGTGATATGCCCTGCAATTGAGAGCATCATCACAGCAAAGACCTTGGGTGGGTGAATTTTGGAATTGATTGGAAGGTTTTCCCACCATAATTCAATGAAGGGCCGTCTGCTTGACCATCGGTACCATCTTACTTTAGGGAGCCGACAATTGGTTTCTGCGCTCTATTGAATTCAAATTCATCTATGTTATCATATCTCGCGACTCTCGGATGCCCCCCCCTTGCAGAGTTCTGCCGTGACACGGTGGGTCGTAGACTGATGACACGCCCGTTCATGAGACAAGCCGTCGATAAATGGACTGGTAAAACTGGGTTTCAATTTAAATCAAGAGCGGATTCTCAGACTGGGCCGGGCACAGATGTTTTGCCAGATCACTCCCAAGTTTTGCCAACAACACCGTGGATAACTACTAACACTGTGATCGGAACATAGCTGATGCGCACATACATAATGCATGAAGCTTTACGCCGACAAATGCTTACCTGTTCTCGTCTTGTACATGGCATAGGCTCTCAAAATCGTCAAATCCTTCGCAGTCCGGAATTGGCTCTGACTAGTCCCCCCCTAGTCACTAATAGAGCCCACAGCGAGTGCGTCCTGGCTGTGTTCACCGTTATTATGTGTCGTGCCGCTACCGCCTTGGACAGAAGTTTTGCAGCATCATCGACGTTTCGATGACATTCGGAACGCCAGCTGTGATCTATTGGACCCTGTTGGACCATGAAAAAAGCAAATTGTCTCTTCAGATCCTTAGTGTGGCGTCACAGCGTAACACAATTACGGCACCGCTGCCCATCAGATGCATCACAGATTACTTCTACGAAAACTGTGCGTCGAAATGCGAAATACTTGTGTCGAATCTTGATCACTACGTGAGTGGCTGAAAGTAGTTGGAGAACAATTGAACAACGACTTGACTCACCTCAGAAACTTGAGCCATACTAAATCATGGGCACACCCTTGGGTGCCACCCGCAAAGCCTCGCTTTTACCTTGTTTCTTGAGACTTTTATGGTGCGTTACTGACCAACGGAATTAATTATGTGTCGAATTTCACGATCTCTCTTCTCAAACAGGCATGTTCTACCTTTCTGATCTGCATTGCAGCGGCCGTCAGTGTACTAGTCGAGCCTTTGAAGGGAATAGCTCACGATTCATTTCAACATCTCATTGTCGATTTTGTTGAAGTTCTGAAGGCATTTGCATTCAAGGCGGTTAGTGTAGATGCCTACTATTCCTACTTTGTTGTGCCATTGGGACTCGCAAGACTCGCACTTGACGCTGCGCAAACCACTATCACTGATGGTGTTCTTGCGAGTTGCGGTAAGTGACTTAAAAATTCATTCAACTCTCATCTCATCATTCCATAGCGGTTGGGTATTATATCGTCTGGGCCCTTTCCCAAACCGATACTAGCCTCATCGTCAGCTATCGTTTGTAAGACTGTTTTTAGGTAATCTTATTCTGCCCCATCATCTTACAAGTATACTTCCAGGTAAGCGTTAACTTCCCGACGGCACAGCCCTCTGAACCAAGGGGTATCATCGCCAGCTCTTTCGAGAGCGAGGTGTTCGGGACGTGGGCTTCAACATGAACCCGATGACTGCGCATCACGAAGAAGACAGATCATTCATGTCGGTGGCTCTTTCTCATTTATGTAGCTCGGACTATCTTCTGTCTTTCTAGCTACGTGGTCGTCTTGTGTTATTTATTTTCCCTCAAGTAATGACGGCGATACGCAGATCATCATGCATCATGATAAATGACATTGTGTGAGTAGTGAGGGGGTGTTCCGTCACTTACATCGAGTAGCGTGCCTTTATCATGTTTGCAAGCGTGCGCCAAAGCGACCCTCAGTGAGACTCAAGGGCAGATGTCATCAACGGGTGGAAAAACTATGTCTACAGAAAGTGCATCGGATAGGAAGCGGATCAGCTACCAAAAGGCTCGTTGACATCTCCATGATCGAGCAGCTCATTCCATGATGTTACAAGATTTGCAGCGAGTTTCCCGGGTCTACCATTCGATCGAGTTCGAAGGATGCCCTGGTCTCGAGGGATAACATAGATGATGCGTCCGGTGATATAGAAACCAATGATGAGTACTAGAACCGTGTCCACAAGTCTGCAAGGTTCACATGGTCAGGGTGCTACAACACAGTCGAACGATAGTACTGAAAGACGGCTGATGTCCAGAGCGCACTGGAACCGAGTTTGATTGACACATAGATGCCTACTAGTCACCAGGGAGAAGAGTGGTACATTTTTGCGCTAACGAATTCCAAGGCAAAATACTTGGTGACTCCACGATCGGCCCGTCATGACGTCATGGTGAAGAGGGACACGGATGGTGCTGAGTGCAGTGGAACAGCGTCTCAGAGCGCCTTTTATGTAATACCGGCCAGCGCCCATTAAGTTGTTCAAGCTTTCACTTAAGCTTCCTTGAATGGCGCCCCCAAATGTCACAACACCATAATGTTGCCTGATTAGGAATAGTCGAAACTATCCGAATATCATCACCTTCGCATCGCCCTTAACGTTCGCAGCTGGAACACAGTGGCATCGACTTTATATTGTAGTTATAAGCTGGCAATATTTGTAGCTCGCTATAGACTTAGTAAATATTGTACCGCGTAATAATTTTTTTGCGCAAATACCAACAAACAAGATGAAAGCATGTTTCAGAAACTCGACTCATCCCGAAACCAGTACCCTTGATAGCAGAACAATGAGTCTGACAGAAAAAAAATCTGTTCCACAAAAGTGCTGGAGAGTCGGGGGGATGATCATATCCCATCATGGCCTTTGACCCTCGGATTGTTATTGGACCGATGCAAGTTGGTTCGCTCTTGAGTGCAGTGTTCTACGGCTGCCTTATTTCGCAAATCTACGTGTATTTTAAACTGTTCCCAACAGACCCTCAAGGCTTTAAAATCGCCGTAAGTAAGTTGTAACTGAAAAAAATTTCATCAATATTGACGTTTGGCTACAGGTCATAGCTCTTGGGTACGGTGTGACTTCTCCACCAGCCTCGCGACTGACATGTGTGTTCTAGAACTTGGCAACTAGGCCACTTCATCTGCTTGATTGCCACACTTTGGACCATGACAGTGACTGCCTATGATCACCCATCCATACTCGATACTCTTCCGGTCGGAACAAAAATTCTGCTCTTGCTTAGCAGCTTCACGTGTTCTACTGTGCAGGCAAGTATTATCCATATTGTCCCCAACATAAGTCATGTATTGTTTTTAGTCGTTTTACACCCATAGACTCTGGAAGCTTTCTAAAATAATCATCCTACCACTTATCTCAGGAATATTAGGTGTAACTGCGCAGGTTGCAGCTTTCATTTTCGTCATCCGCGCGTTTCATATGGCCAACCTCGAAACATTCGGAGAGGATCAGCACTTCATCATCGCATTCGCAGCCATCTCCCGTTCGGCATCTGACATTTTCACTACCATCTGTATTGCCGCCACCCTGAAGAAGCAAACATGGTACATTCCGGGCGTTTCGGTGACGGCTAAGATAGCCAACCGGATAGTTGCGTGGACACTTGGTAAGAACATTACATTATGGTTTTAATTAAAATGACCTGGCCATAGAAACCTGTTTGGTAGCTAGGTAGGTCTTTCGCACTAGGTCTTTTCGGTTTTGAACGTCTTCGAAGTTTAGTGACGTTTGCAATCGCCGTCCTGGTAAGATATACTTACACTTGAGCTTGCTCATATCGCTGACTAAATACTTCAGCTCCTTACTTTGCCAAATAGTTGGTTCCATTTTTTTGCGTTTTTTTTTGTATTCACACCCTTTAGATGCCTGGTTTGGTCTATATGTTATCAATGCCAACGGTATATCGTCACTCAAATTAATGAGGGAAGTAACGCTGATTCTTCAACAGTAATTGCGAATTCGCTACTGGCATGGTAAGACAAATCAAATTTTCATGCCTACAAAATATTGACACGATCTCGAAGGCTCAATCGCCGGTTCACGTTCATACGTGATGATTCGGATTTAACAGTATGCTCGACTATCGCCTTTGCTGGGTGATCTGCGTCCACACAAGGCCACTAGTCACAAAGTTTGTTCTCTGTAACTCCGTCTCGTCGAGAGGACTCCTAAAATTTCTTGTATTTGCGTTCCCAGTTGTGTGTATCACTTGACTTGTATCACTAGTCGTTCTTGTCGTCAAATTGTGTATCGTTCGTCACCTGTACCTGTAGCACCAGTCCCCGTAGTGTTGTCTGCTAGATCATTACAAGAAATAAGTAAGTTTATCACCAACTCCCACCCATCGGCACGAGATCCTGTATAAAGTGTCACTTATAGATAGGCCCATTGGCCCTTCG